TTTGTTTGTTTGTTTGTTTTTGAGCCAAAGTGGTCAAAAGCAGTCTGATTTTGAATGCCTCAAGGTTTTGGAGGCCAATTTGAAAAATCCTGGACCTGATTTTCAGACTGATGCCCAGCTTCTCAAAGCTACTTAGGCATCTAACTCCCTCTAATTTCAAAGGGAATTAGGCACCTAAATACCTTTGAGGATTTGAGTCTGGGCCCCTGCACCTTCAGCAGAAGTCAAGAGACCTGCAGATGCTTGATACTTCTGGAAGTCAGTCCCAGTGTTGAGCACCCAAAACAGTCAGCAGCCACATGAAAATCTGAGCATTCGTGACTTGCCCAAGGTCACTCAGAGTTCCCAAAGAGTTGAGAGGGATTTAAAAGAAATACCATGTAAAGAGAACTTTGTTATTGCTAGAGCCATGCAATGGGCAGTGAGGGAAGAAGGAAGGCAGGATGACAAACATGCTTCCAAGAGACAGAGAGGGATTACACACTAGCTGAAAAATGCAGGGAAGTCTAGTCTCTAGGTTTGTTTACCTGTCAGTCCCAGCCCCATTTAGTTTGATTCCCCAGCAACAGGGCAGTCTCCAGTTCAGGGTATTAATGTTAAATAGACAAGATCTCACAGCAATTTGCAAAAGCCACTGTGAACAGAGATGGACACTAGATGGCATCCTGCAGCCCCTGGTTAAAATGCTGCCTCTTTTAAGCACAAGAATGGATAAGGGTGAAAATAAACCCATGGTTCTCCAGTGAAGTGTTCCTAAAATGTAATTAACGACGCTTATTATTTCTATTGCAGTAGAAGCCAATCAGAGATTAGGGCTCTATTGTACCAGACAGTAGAGAGAGAACACAAAGACAGTCCCTGCCTCAGAGAAGTCATCATCTCAGTGCAATTCCCGTCCCAGGGCAAGACCCTGCCCTTGCTATTACAAAGTCATCTTCATTTTCGGCTAAACTGCTAAGGCTCTGAGTGGAGTGTATAGAGATCTTGACATGCCCAAGCTTTGGGCTGTATTTGAAGGCCAGCCCCAGCTTTGCGTTTGGCATGTGGAACCCTCTTTCACACTGCAGCCTTTACGGAGATGATATCCATTTATCCCTGGACCCTGACAGACTCTGCATTCAGTTCAGAATCCAGCACTTTGTTTGTGAAGTAGGGAAAAAGATGAACTACCCCCCTCGCATCCCATTCCCTGGCTCTGAGCCTTCAATAACTCCCCAGCCAGGAAGTGCATTTGTCACCCTCTTCCTCTTGATTTCTTTGTGCAGCTAGCGTTTGCCAAATCGATGCTGAGTCTGAGATGCTATTTACTTTGGAGCGCAGCTTTCCAACCTTTGTGAGGCATTCTGTTCTCCCCCCACCCCCCGCCACCCCCACATACACGGGTGTTTCACAATTACATTGTTGCCCTATCCAAAGGGGCATTCTGGAGGAAGCCAAAGGTCCAGTCAGACCTGCCTGTGCAGGACTTACACCTCACCCGCTTGTCTGCACATCCACCCTCTGCCCCATCCAGAGAACCCCAGCACAAGGCTGATACCTTGATTCCCTCCCCAAGCACCTCTCTCTCCCCCATCCCAGCCAGGAGAGGTGGTGTCTATCTTGGCCTACTTGATCCGGGAAGGGTTAATCTCTCCTGCCTCTCCCCATCTGCTGATTCTGATTGCTCTGAATTACCATACAGATTGAGAAAGCCAGGCCTGTGATTTCACAAGAGCCTCTGCCAGGCTCCTTTAAGTGGCCAGAGACCCTCAGCCTCTTCCATCCTTCGCCCAGATGCTCCGCTTTCCCTTGGAGATGGATCTCCGCATGTGACCCCTGCACCTGCTCTTGTCTGATGAGGGCAGCATCTAATGACTCCAATTTGGAAAGAAATTCAAGAGGAGAGATGATGGAGATTGGCTGCTTTCTGATTAGTCCTAGAATCCCCCCACTTCTCATGCCCGTCAACATCAGAAAAGGAACAAGCCAGCCGCCTCTTCCCCCAGCCCCTCCCTGTCCGTAGCCTTCTAGGCTGATGGGTCTTGCTCTTTTTCCTGGCTAGTCCCATTCATCACAACTAGGGCACATCTGTGCCCATGACTCCCAACCTTGCACCCCTGGTGGGAAAGATTGGAGTTGGGCTTCTGTGCCCATCAGCTAGATCCAAGGGGAGGCTGAATCTGCAGCAGCAGCCGCCTCTGGCCAGTGTAGATTTCCCCCTAACCACCTTCCCCTCAGCACCCAGGCAATATCCTGTAACGTAATCAGTGATTATACAGAGCAATGCAGGATCAATCCCATCCTGATGCAGGCCAGGAAGTGATGGCTTTCCTTTACAGGCAGCCTGGCAACTCGAGAGGACAATTTCTGAGCCAGATTTGGTTGTGTAATAGCAGCATGCCCCTTTGTACTCAATGCTAGCCCAGGGCTCTTGCAACACTCTGCCATGGATTATCATTGGGATTGAATCTGGGCTCTTTTGCACCAGAAGCACAGCTCTCTACCACTCGAGCAAAAAGGAGCTAGCAGCAGTTGTAGGCACTTATCTGCTGTGAGGACCAGCCACCAGAGAGGGGCACGCTTTGCCAGCATCTTACACAACCATCTAGGGTGCCCCCCTGATTTAAGGAGGCTGTGTCAGACGAGCACTGAAGCTACAGAGCCCACAGTTTCACTGGCTGCAGAACGCCTGCTCACCTGAGCCCTCCCCTCAGAAAGGCAGATGCTGTTTCTGCTCAAATGGCCCCCCTCCCCATCTCCTTGTTGGGAGTCAGGGCAGGTTCCCTCACCCCATGGCCCCATCTCCCCCTCAGCCTGGGAGTCAGGAGAGTCTTCCTTGTGTGACCTCTGGAATTTACCTCAGGGAACAGAGATGAACCATGAGCCTTTGTGTCTCTAATAGACTCCAGGGCAGCTCCTCCTGAGCAGCTGCAGATTTGGCACTCTTCTGCGTCTCCCGGTAACAGGGCCATCAGGCTAAATGTCACCCTGGCACTTGCTATTCATCACTCCAGTGTGAGCCTCAAGCAAAAACCCAGTAGGGCTCTGGGGAGTTGAGAAGGTAGGCAGATGCACCAGAGACCTCTGGGAGGGGGCAGAGGGGCATGCAGGCGGAGATGGTCAATGTGCCTGTAGTTATAGAGAGAGGTAGAGAAAGCCCCCTTCAGAGTGAGAAAAGGGGACCTTTGGAACAGCACTACTGGTGGTGGGGGGGAGGGGTGCGTGAAATGTAGAGCAAGTGCCTTCCTAGGATGGAGGGGAAGCCCCAGGGGGTGAGAAATATGGAAACAGCCCCTCCTGCTGTGGGAGAGAGTGGGTACTCTGAGCTAATTGTGAGCCCTCGCAATCCCCCCACATCTATCCATGCCCATTCCACTGGCCAGTGAACCAGCCTTGCTCACATCTCACCTCCTCGCTCCTCCCGGAGGAGCTTTCCCAGGTGAGTGGGTCATTTCCCACGCAGGGGCAAGAGATGATGACTTGCCACAGTGCCGCCGCAGCTTCCCTTCAAGTCTCTCCTCTCCCTGGATCGCTTGGGCTGCTCTGGTGGCTGCTGTCTCCTTTTTTCCACCGCCCCTTGAGAGAGGCTCCCAATTTCCATTTAAATCGAGGTTTTAATGCTTCTTCCCACCCAGCCACCTGGCGGGGCCAAGTCTCAGCAAACAGCTTCAGCCAGTTGAACAGTGCCTACAGGGAACCTGGAGAACCCTTCACATTCAAAGGGCTCTTTTCACACCTCCACCCTGTCAGGGGCCTAGTGGGATAATCTCGGGACCCCGGTAGGTGTGCAGCAAAGGACACAGTCAGCGCTCAGCACACCCAGCAACACAGAGCATTAGGGATCATGGAGTAAGGTGTGAGACGGGCACCCAACTCCCACCAAATTGGAAGTAGGCACCTAAATCCCTTTGAAAATAGCAGCCTCTGCATTTAATCCTTTCTTACACCGGGGCCAATGGTAGCATACCCACCCCACCACATGCACACACCCAATGGGAATAGAGCCCCAGGCTATTGCCTCACCTGGCCTCAGGGTGAGAGAATTGAGGGTTGGTTAGTCCTGTTAGGTCCCCTCTTGTCCACCTCAGAGAGGCCAATGCACTTTAATCCCCTACAGTATTTCCAGGGCCTCTGTCCAGTCAAGTTTTAAATTTCCCAAAAGCTGGGGGTTCCGCCATGTGGCCAGGGAGACTATTCCAGTCTCAGAGATTGCAGTGCCAGAACATTTCCCTGATAGTCAGCTCCAATTTGCCTTTGCTTCATTTCCTCCCATTCTTCTTCGTCACACCCCTCAGTCTCTCTGCACATTTTCCCGCCTCACTCGACAATTATAGCCATAGATGGTTATCATAGTAAAGAGAGAGTGACCTGTTGCAATATTCGGGAACGGTGTCAGCTGGGTGAATCTGCATTCATAGAATATCAGGGTTGGAAGGGTCCTCAGGAGGTCATCTAGTCCAACCCCCTGCTCAAAGCAGGGCCAATCCCCAGACAGATTTTTGCCCCAGATCCCTAAATAGCCCCCTCAAGGATTGAACTCACAACCCTGGGTTTAGCAGGCCAATGCTCAAACCACTGAACTATCCCTCCCCCCATTGCTAGCTCGATTTTGTAAATGGGGAAAATGAGGTGCGGAGCGGCCAAGTGATTTGCAAGGTCACACAGGAAGTCACTGGCAGATCTAGGAACAGAACACAGAAATCTCGACTCCCAGTCCTTTTCTCCATTCTCACAGTCTATTAATCAGGTCACAGCCTCCCTCCCTGCTCCCAGCGCGAAAAGTATCGCAGTTAGGCGTTGAGGTGAGCAGAGAGAACTCTTTCCTTGCTGCTGGACAGTGCTTCTGTCTCAGGATCCCAAAGCACCTCATGAACGGGAGTCTCTTCACTTGCCCCTGAAATGCAGCCGCCGTGTAACGGTGCATAACAACGCACCGCGAGAATTTAGCATGGGAAGCGATGGAGAATATGTATCTCAGTGAAACCACAGGGGGGAGTTTGAGAGGCAGAAAGAAATTAATATAAGGTAGAATGTGGCTGGAGTGCTCCAAGGGGCATCACATAATGACCACAAACGAGAAGGATCTCTAGGGCCATAGGGGTGGGCGAGAGGATGATGGAGAATCATGGCAAAAGTGAGCCTATGGACACTAAGCTTGGAGATTGCCATTTAGGAATAGGTTCAACCCAGATGTTTTCCTGGCCCCAGCCTAGAGCCTCGCAGCATTAAAGGGAGGCAACACAGAAGACAGAGCCAATTGGCGGTGATGGACCATTGCTGGGTACACCAGGGGCTACAGCCACCTTTGCCCCCACCCCTAATAAGCTGAGTATCGTGGAAGGTGCAGCTCAGAAGCAGGGCCTGGGCTCATTGGCTGACTCATCCTCTTGTATTGCTGTGGGATCCCCGAGTGTATACTGAGGTGCCCTCAGCAGGATGGGAGCGGACAAATGCTACCTCGGTCCCACAATACCTCTGCTCCAACGCAGACTGCAATCCCATCCTCCTGTGCAGGAAACCCACAAGGAAACCGCACTGCACTGAAAGGAGCGAGATGTATTTTTTTTGCCAGACTAAGAAAATCCTGGTTAAACACAGAAACACGCATGTGGTTTGGAAGTTGCCGTCCATTTCCTAGCCTGATCCCTGGAAGCGGCTGTAGCACAGAGTGACCAGTACAATGCCCTGAAGGCCACTGGCCCAGTTCAGTCATTGCCACGCCCTGGGCAGTTGGACTGCAGCACCAGGAAAACATTGGCCATGGGGGGCTCTGACGGAGGTCACAGTCAGAGCTGGGTGGGAATGATCCATTGTACAGTCAGTGAAGGGAAGAACCAGCCCTGAGGAGCCGGGGGCTTCTGAAGAACGAGGGGGGCGAAGAATCCTTACCATTGCCCCTCCCCCAACATGCACACACAAAGGCAAAGTCTCTCTGTTTCTATGCAGATAATAAACAACAGCCACTGCCCACCTCTGCTTGTCCGCTCCCGCCCGGCTAACCCCCCGTCAAAGAGCTGAGTCCTCGGTTGTCAGACACGCGGCAAGTTCACCCAACTTTTGTCATAGGGTAACAAGAATATTATGAATGAGTTGCCCTTCTCAAAGCACTTTACAAACATTCATGGATTAAGCCTCGCACAACATCGCTGTGGGTTAGGTATTAGACCCTCATCAGAGATGGGATGCTGAGATGGAGAGGTGAAGTGCCTTGTCCAGGTAAGCAGTGGAATAGTCCTGACTCCCAGTGTTCCCCCTGCTCTAACCACTGGAAAATACTCCTCTCCCACAGCTGGGAATAGTATAATTAATCATCATATAATGCAGTAATGCAGGGGTCAGCAACCTTTCAGAAGTGGTGTGCCGAGTCTTCATTTATTCACTCTGATTTAAGGTTTTGCGTGCCAGTAGTACATTTTAATGTTTTTAGAAGGTCTCTTTCTATAAGATATAACTAAACTATTGTTGTATGTAAAGTAAATAAGGTTTTTAAAATATTTAAGAAGCTTCATTTAAAATTAAATTAAAACTCAGAGCCCTCCCGGACTGGTGCCAGGACCTGGGCAGTGTGAGTGCCACTGAAAATCAGCTCGCATGCCGCCTTCAGCACGTGTGCCATAGGTTGCCTACTCCTGCAGTAATGCCTCCACCTGGGAGGGGCCCATTGTGCTAAGTACTGGATAAACGTATAGTAAATGACCATCCCAAAGAGCACAGCACCCAGGAATCCTGACTCCCAATCCCTGCTCCTACTCTGGCCATTAGACTCCCCTCCCCCATGGCTGGGAATAGAACCCAGGCATCCTGACTCTGCTCTAACCACTAGAGAGACAACCCTGCTGTATGAAGAGGTGGTATAAGTTCCGTCCTGTGAGTGCTTCGGCAGAGCTATCCTAGGGAGGACCCCACACTTCTGCTCCCCTCCCACACTGACTGCGCTGTGACTTGACTGTCTCTAATAATTACAGTTAGTCTGTAATTATCACCTTCTGATTTCTCTTTGTTAAGGCTTATTGGGAAGAGAGAACGAACGGCTTTGGCAGTGCTAAGGAGCTGCAGATGCCAGAGAGCGGAGGCACCTGGATTCAGGCTAAGGTGGACATGCCATTTTTGCTGCACTGGTTAACCAATCCCCTATCAAAACATTGTAAAAACGATCAATCGGTGTCATGTTTTACAATGCAATGGCGGGGGCTTCTCCCATATCCCACACACACACACACACACACACACACTGTCTGGTACTGCTGTACTGGAGCAACCAGACAAGTCAGAATATGCAAAGAAGATGCTAATTAAAAAGTACAGGTGAGTGAGGAAAGAGATTCTCAGAAAGCTATTGTTATTGAAATGAGACAGTGCACCAGGATCTAATGTAATGGGGAGAGGTGGTAGTGTGTGTGTGTGTGTGTGTGTGTGTGTGCGGAGGGGGGGGGGTTTGGAAAGACTGTGAAGTTGAGAGACTGCAGGGAAAATGGAGAAGAAAGACTAGAGCGAGTGTGACTGATGGAGAATAGGGGGAAGCAGAGGAACAACCTCTTCCCCCCTAAAACCGGGGGTCTGACTCTTTCCTCCACTCCCTGCACACAAAGGACTCAGACTGGAGTCAGTAACCTCCGTTGCGACAGAAAATGCCCCCTTGGCTGACAACAGCGATAAGCAACAGGTGTGGTGGAACTGAACACGGCATAAGTGCAAGTGGAGAAAGGACCGAAGCGTGTTCAGCACCACTTCAGAACCTGTGGTTCTGCCCCAAATGCAGGACCAAACCCTTAGCACACAGCATCCGACAGCAATGAGCCAGAGCACTACAGCCTTTGGGCCCATTACTGCAGCCGAGTGCAGCCTGAAAGCTCCAATCCAATGGGCCATGTATTTGTATTGGCCTGGAAGATAATCTGCCTGAGCCAGATCGATGAAGGAGTGAGACATCTCCTCACAGCTGAACTGGTGCCTATTTACTCAACTTCCCAAAGAGGAGCAGGAGAACATAGCAACAACAATACCTTTCTGCCTTAGCATCCCAACTTCCTAATACCCAGAACCTTGTTCTAAACACTCCCCCTTGAGCTGGGAGTCAGGACTCCTGGGTTACCTGTCCTAAACTCTAGACCATCTTCCCCTCCCAAAGCCAGGAACAGAACCCAGGTGTCCTAGCTGCCTGTTCCCTGTTGTTTGCTAGTCTCAGGGGATGGCTGCCTGTAGCACAAGCACACAGATGTGAGCGAGGGGGCTGGGAAAAAGGCCAGGATCAAGGTGGCTTGTAAAGCAATTCTATCTCCCCTACACAGGCGACTTCACAAGAGAAGTTGGTCTCCACAGCTAAAGGCTGACAGGATAGGTAGGGCTGTCACACCCATGGAGCTGATAGCATTACCCAGCCCAGCCTGCTCCAATGAACAATCATGCAGGCAGCAGTCCCTCTGGTTTGTTGCATTTTCTGTGTCACATTAGTAGCCCGGGAGACTGAAAGCATTTGTTTCGCCACAGGACTGGGAGAAGCAGCAGTAGGGCAAACTCCCTCACTTCTCCTCCTAAACTCCCTCACTTCCCCTCTGTCTCAGGAGCCTGTTCAAGTCCATGGTTTCCCAGAGGAAGCTACTGACAACTATGACAAGGGATTTTTCTTTTTTCCTAGGAACTACACTGAGACCCACCAAACTCATTTGACATAAGGCACCCAGACATCAACCACTTCCATTCACTACCAACCTGGGTTGGCCCTGGGTTTGAACCCATGGACTTGAAGTGAAAAGTGCCATTCCCTGAGCCATCCAGTCCCCTAGAAAGTCACTTTTCTGAGTATATCAGAGAAACAAAGGAAGACACCAACATATTTGCTAATACATACATACATACTAACTCCTTCCCAGCCAGAGGGGTAGCAATTCCTCTCCCCATCCCTCCCCTGTATGCACACTCCCCAGAAACTGGGCAATTTCTGCAGACCTCTCTCCGCCATATCCCTTCTCCCCGCCCCCACTCCCTCTCCTGATCCCCTTTCAATCCAGCACACTGGAGGTAAAGGGAGTGATCTTCTCCAGTGATATATCCATCTCGCACTCCACGTGGACCACGGCTGGCAAGACGGCGTCGGCATGGTTGTTGTGGGAGGTCTGGGAGATCTGGGACACTTTGTCAAAAGTCAGCTCATTGTCTTCTGCCTGCAGGGTGGCATGGGGGAGAAGGTGCGGGTAGCTGAGGGTCACTACATCCTTCTGGTAGGTGGTGTCATGGTGGTAGGAGACCAGCTCGTTGCTGAAATTCACAGTCTCCACTGCGTTGCTGGGGCAGAGGCGGCCGCAGCCCAGGATGGTGGCAAAGGCCCTCCTGAAGTCAGCATTGAAGGCATAGATGATGGGGTTGAGAGAGGAGTTGGCCCAGCCAAACCAGACAAAGATGTTGAAGACTGTCTCGCTGACACAGGGCAACTCCCCAGGATCATGCAGGTCAAGGTCGCAGAAGGGCACCATGCAGTTGAGCACAAAGAAGGGCAGCCAGCAGAAGACAAAGACGCCCATGATGATGGAGAGGGTCTTGAGGACTTTGGTCTCCTTTTTGAAAGAGTTCTTCAGGGAGGCCTCGTGGGGGCAGTCATTGCTGTGGCAATTCTGGGCATGCTCCACGGCTCTCTCCAGAGAGGAGATCCTGCGGATCTGCCGCTGAGCAATGCGGAAGATCCTGGTGTATGTGACGATCATGATGGCGACGGGGATGTAGAAGCTGATGAGGGATGAGGAGATAGCATAGGTCCTGTTGAGGCTGGAGTCGCAGTTCTCCTCTGAGCCCTGTGTGAAGTTGGAGCCTGGCTCCTGCTGAGCAAGGAGCTCATTGGCCTTGTGCCACCTCAGCTGCACAGGGATGAAGGAGATCAAGATGGAGAGCAGCCAAGCCACCCCAATCATGATGAAAGCCACCCGCTGGGTCATCTTCCTCTCGTAGCGGAAGGGGCTAGAGATGGCCCAGTACCGGTCCACACTAATAATGCACAGGTTGAGGATGGAGGCTGTGGAGCACATGATGTCAAAGGCCACCCAGACATCACAGAAGCCCCCAAAAGGCCAGAAGCCAGCCACCTCAGCGACTGCCTTCCACGGCATCACCAGCACGGCCACGAACAGGTCGGAGACAGCCAGCGAGATGACGAAGAAGTTGGTGACCTTGGAGCGCAGGTGCCGGAACTTGATCACAGCCACGCACACCAGGGTGTTGCCCAGCAAGGTGGAGAGGATGAGGAGGAAGAGCAGGGCAGCCATCACCACCCGCAGGGACAGCTCCGAGTTGTCGTCCTCCACCCAACTCTTCTTGCTGAGGGTGTCATTGATCATCTCCAGCCCATCTCCCGCTCCTAGCAGGTAAAGCCCATCCATGAGTTCCCTTTGTCCTGCTGTCCCCAGAGATCTCATTGGTGCTACGTCCCCATCGGCACACAAACCGCTTCCTCTTTATTCCTCCTCTTGCATCTTGGAAGCACAAACTGCGACCCTTCCAGCTCTTGAACTCTTACAAGCGCAGCTAGATCCCCGGTCATAAGTGCTCCAACCTTTCGCTCCTTTCCAAGTCTCCTGCAGGCAGCCTGGCATTTTCCCACCACCACTTTTCTTCTTATGCAGCCTGCCGCTCACAAAGAGCCAGTACTCACCTCCTGCTCTCGTGTGGGGTGGGTGGGCTCGACTGCAATCTTCCCTCCCCCTCCTCTCGCAGGGGGCTCATCAGCTGTTGCAAATCCATTGCTTGTAGAATCCCTCTCAATCTCTTTTGTACTGGCCAGGCTTGTACTTGGCTGCTGGGTCGGGTGCGAGGGGGAGTTTGGGGATCACTCTCTGCTGTTGCTGCTAGATGCTCTCTGCTTCTCAGCTCAGACACCCAGCTGCTCTGCTGCCGCTGTTCTTTCCTCTCTTGCTGATTTGCTCCAGATTTTACACAGGTGAGATCCCCTTCTTCTCCATGCACGGAGTCCCTACTCATCAATCTCTGGCCTTCTGACTTTACCAATCTGCCCTTTTAGTCCTGAGATATTGGGGGCATAGGGTTTGGACTTTTTTGCTGAGATTGGGGAAGGGGTTGGATTTAGGGAAGGTAGGGAAACAGACAACAGGGACGGGGTGGGGCGAGGGATGAAATGATGAGCAATCAGAGAGGGTTGAGAAGATTTTGGAGGCTTAGATGACATTTATTGATAGTTTGGGAGTTCAATATGTGGGAATCCAAGTCATTTTGATCCTCCCAGTAGGAGACAGCATGGTCTAGTGAATAGGATGCTGGGCCAGGAGACCTAGGATCTGTTCCCACTGGTTTGCTCTGTAACCTTAGGCAAGTCATCTCCCCTCTCTCTGCATCAGTTTTCCCATCTGTAAATAGCGGATAATGACACTTGCCTTCCTTTGTAAAATGTTTCAAGATCTATAGATGAAAAGCGCTGTATGATGAGTTCCATGCTATTGCAGTATAATCTCTCCAGAGTCCTCTTCCTCCGATCATGGAGTGAGGGCAGAGCTGTACACAACTTTCTTTATTTGAAGGGGGCCTAAAGTAAAGAATAACAAGTGTAGAATATTGATTTGATGAGGGCTTTTGTACCATGACTCAATTTGTCCAATTTTAATAAAGCGAGATAAACACGCTTCTGTTCCCAACTCAGGGTTTTCTTTATTAGTGCAATCCTTAAATTGGGGCAGGGGATGCACTAAAACTCCAACTGTCTAGGCCCACGGAATGGTATACAGAAAGCAAAGAACCTTTTCATGTTAGTATGAAATCTAAATGCCAGCCCCTATTCCAGACTGATTAACAGGTCGTTGTATAGCCAGTGGTCAGTGCAAGGAAATCTGACCCTTGAATCTATGGGTCATTCCTTCTGTGGAGGAAACGCAGTGACCAGCTGTCACTATTCCTCCCCTTGTGGTGCTGGGGCAGTCGCTGAGGAGAGTTCAGTGATCGCAGTTTATCATCCTATCTACAGTGCCACTGAGTAAACGCAGGGCTGAACTCCCTTGGGCTTAGACCAGGAGAAGAGAGATCCCCCACATCACAAAGCCCAGGGGGAGGGAAGGGGGGCTGTGGCAGTGCAGACTTGGAAGCAACTGCCACTAACCATTTACAGAGAGCTCCATCATTAACACCATTCACCTTTCCCATCCCTGAGGGCCACCATCCCAGGCAAAGGGGACTGCTCTCCCCTGTGCATTAGCCCAGCAACACTCATTTATTAGGAATCAGGATTGACCCATTCACATGCAGTTTAGTCTTCAAGTTCATGGGCCATTTCCACCACCCCTGCAACTCCACTGACTTCAACCGAGTTATACCAAGGGTCACTTTGGCCCAAGAGGCTGGAGATTTCTTTGAAGGAGAAGGTGAATGGTTTAGATCTTAGGAATCAGGAACCATTGAATTATTCAGGGAAAACTAGGTACCACCCTAAAGAATCTTCATCCCTTTATAGGCATTTTACCTCTGGGCCACACGTCTCTCCCTAGGATTCTCTCTGCACTGAATCACACAGTCTGTCCCCAAAGAAACTCAAAAGAGCACTGACCTTGGCTCCTGAGGGATTTCTCTGGGGCTAAATTTCCTGGGGAAACAGCTCTCAAGAAGCCTCTCAACATTAACCTGCTTTGGAGAAACTCTTCACTGGCAAACTTGCCAAGAAACAAGCAGCAAAACCCTTCTTGGGAGACAAACTCTCCCAAAAAATCAGCCCCACTCAGCACTAAACTCACTAATTACCCAGCTGTTTGCTGTAATACAACACAGTGCAGTGACCTTAACCCTTCCCTTTATGGTGCACCATTTCTAAACAAAGCAGCAGTCAGTCATATTGAAACAACCCAGGCCTATTGTGTGTTTTGGCTTCATTAGCTTTACCCCGACCCATGCATTATATAATCTCAGGTTTCAATCTGAACAGACACTACCCCAGAACTACTTTCAGCTGCTGTCTTCAAGGATGTTCATAGGTGACACACCCTCTCTCCGATCTAGCCAAGAAAGTGATTCTGTTTTCATCATGAAGCAAATATTTTTCTTCTTTAGTCAATTTCACGACACAGCATCCTTCCCCCCCCCCACATGAGCTCTTTAAAGAAACTAGCGAAATACATTACAGTAACAGCTTGCAAGAGCTTCATTTGTCTCATTAAGTTCCATCACCTTCCAGCAGGTTCCTGCCAACAATTTATGCCAAGAAGGCGTGTTTGCTCTTTAAAACTTTTACAAGTGCCTTTGAAATTGTCAGACCTTTTACTTTGCCAATCAATGGCGATATGAAAATGGACAAAAGCATTTCAAAACAGAAGGGAGAGTGGGTAATATAAGCAACAAGAGACCTTCAACTTCTGGCCAAGGACATACAAACACAGGAAAGCACTTCTAGGATTCAAGCTGATGCACTACATGCATGAAATTGGGGATGTTAGCCACTGCTGCAGCTTCTCATGATGCTGAGCATTTGCCCGAAGCGCCATTCTATGCATAGGCACCTTTTGCCACTGCAGGTCATTTTTACCATGTTGGATCTGAAAGGGCATTCATCTCGACGCTCTCTATGCACAGCACATGGATTTCAAAAGTTCTTCTCATTGTTGGACATATGGTAGGCACGCGCTTGCTCCTGGAAGTCAGTCACCTAGTGTTACACAGTCATAAGTCTCAGCCCAAAGTTGCATTCTGTCCCTTACTTAGGTCAGAATCAGTGCCTCAAGATGCCTATAAGCAAGACTACTGCAAGCCAGGACATGGTCATATCTCACAAGCTACACAGGACAGTCCTTGGATGGGAAGCATTCCAGGAAAACCTAGGCACTGCAGGAGGTGGGGCTGATGATTCTTTCATGGAGAAGGGGGCAGTCTTCATAAGAGTGGCCACACTGGGTCAGACCAAAGGTCCATCTAGTCCAGTAGCCTGTCTTCCGACAGTAGCCAATGCCAGGTGCCCCAGAAGAAATGAACAGAACAGGTCATCAAGTGATCCATCCCCTGTTACCCATTTTCAGCTTCTGGCAAACAGAGGCTAGGGACACCATCCCTGCCCATCCTGGCTAATAGCCATTGAGGGACCAATCCTCCGTGAACGTATCTAGTTCTTTTTTGAACCCTGTTATCGTCCTTCCTTTTAATTAGTTCTGAACCAATGCTTCCGCATGGTGCTATGGAACAGCCTTTTGCCTGAGACATAAAACCACGGTTCTGTATCTCAGACAGACTGCGGAACTCATGTGCATTGTTATTCCTCTGATCCTTTTTGAAAGAGAAAGTTGTTAACCCTGGTGTCATGACCAAATTGGAGCTTAGGTAATTACATTCTGCCCATCTGAAAGTCTTCCTACAATTTCTGTTGGATGCAATATCCTTTGCTTCCTACACTAAACTGATGTAAGGTTGCATCATTAAACAGCTGCGGTTCCATCTCAGAAGTAGCTGTATTTCAGTGAAGTGAGTACTGTGTATATATTTTGCAAAGCACTTTGGTATGAAACGATTCTATTTTGGTGGCAAGTCATTCTTTAGCACTTTTGTATTTAATATCTTTCCCTTCCCAGCAACAGGGTGCTCTCTAAATTACCCTTCTACTATTTCCCCCCTTCTTTTTCACAGCCACATCTTTAAGCTTTCTTTCCATTCAGTCATCTTGATTGCTTTCCCACTCAGAGTCAAAGCATGAAAATTACAAGCCACTTCAAGTAACGCACCAGCTGCTCAGATTTAACTCTTAAATGCCTCTTCCAGCCCTTCAGAACAATAGTCTCTCTGGCATGTTTTACACACGCTTGCAAAGGGGATATATTCAGCAACTTCACCATGCCTTGCCTCTCTCAGAAGGGAATTATCCTGTCTGGGAGTTTGGTACTCTGCTACTCCAGTCCCTACAGAAAGGATCTAGAACTACTGCCTGTAAGCAAAGTCTCAGCTACCATTATAGGTTCAGGCAGTGTATAAGTAACTTAGAATGCAACATGGGAACAAAACAACCCCCTTCCCCCGCAAAATTTATGCAATAGAGGGCCAGTATCACAGCATGGAGCAGACACACAAAATAATTCCTTGCTTTACTAATGTAGAATACAGCATTCAGTTCTAGGCATCGTCAAAAAGTGGGGAGAGAAGTTGGGAATTTGGAGAAGGAATAGTCTAGTTACTTTCTAGGGCTGACAATACAGGAATCAGCGGTTGCTATTCTGAATGTTAACCTTTAATTTAAAATCAATAAGGGAAAGTCATAGATTATTAAAGAGTAGGAGAGAATGATTTATGAAGATTAATCCAATAAAGTAGGTAATAACTGAACAGGGACTCAGACCAGGACTGTATAAGCATCCAAATGAGATCAATAACAAAGCACGGTCGTTTACTGTGATCCAAGGGGACATAACTAGACATAACAAAAGGAAGCCGAAGAAACGTTTACTTTGATTCTCTAAATGTTTAGCAGGGAGGTCTATTAGATTGTGGGATAGTGTCCTTGGTGAAAGTCCCAACATTTTAGTCATTTTATAAAATGGACCAGAGGAAAAGCATGGGAACCAATCGTGCTGCTTTCTGGGAATGAACGAGAGGTAGAAAGGATGGCATGTCCTGAAGAGCAAAGAGAGCAATCAAACGGCTTTTTAAGCTCACAAATACACCAAGGCTCCTGAACCACAAGCCAGCAGGGCTCTGTCTTTCACTGAAAGCAACTGCCTGTTTTAATTTAGACTAAGAACAGAGCACTAGCAAAGGTCCTGTTGTGGGTACATCCTACAGCCGGGTGCATGGATTATCCATCACTCTGTTTTTGAGGTCAAACCACTGTCAGCTGCCCATTTATGTTTAGCGAACAATCTTTCCATCACAGGTGTTGGAAGCACCGCAAGAAATTGACAGCACAATGGACGTTTTTGTTTTTTTCCCCCTTTATTACACAGCAGGTAGAAAAAACAGCAATTGTTTCCCCTCTTTCTCTTTACAAAGGAAAGGAACACGGAGATTAAAATTATTTAGTATGATTGTGTTTGCGGCCCATGTGACTTGCTAACCCCTTGCACCATACCCTCCACAGGAGGAGGGGTCTCCACTCAGTAATGGTATTTGTTCGGGGGAGGAGAAGAGGAGCTGCTGTGTTCAGATGCAGCAGACTGTAGACGCTTCACTGGTAGTTCTCTCCCCCTGGAGTTGGGCTAGGTCCAGTGCCCGTTCTCCTGTTCATTACTCCATGACCATTTATTACTATTCATCCAAACTGCTCTCCACCTGGCTTGAGCAATGGAGAGCCATTGGTACAGGA